AGGTGGTCCTACACAATTTTACTAGGCACTTTTCCTTGTGCTTCCAAGCAAGTCATGGAGAAATCAGCAAAAGCCAAACATTAGTATGTTTTAGGTACTTCCTGAAAGTTACATCAGCTATCAAATTTAAAGTCAAAGCCAAATCCATACCAATCATGTATTTACTGGGCTTTGCAGGAGATTTCAAAGCATTGAGTCAGATGACAAATGTACTGCAACACTAGACACAATACTGTAGATAGAGACAGGTCTTTTGCTTTAATTTTTAATTTCCATTTTCTGTGGGTTTAGACAAACCACTGACATCACTTCAGTATAATACTCTGCAATGAATCAATACTTTAATAACGGTATTCTGTTGTCAACATATAATATATCACATAACGTTGTATAGATGCTAAAAAAAAAAATTATAAATAAAATGCAAGACTTGGCTTTTACTGGTGATCACAAGTTAAACTGATGTAATGAGAATCCTTATAACCTCCAAAAAAGTTTTCTTCTGGGTTAAAAGGCAGCATGGAGTAATTTCAGCAACATTCCTTCCTCTCATCATACCAGTGCTGTGAAAGCTCTCCTAGGTCAGGGATTCCAATAAACACTTAATTAAGCAGAACAGAAAGGAAATATATCTGAACAGAATCAATGTATGTATCTGTGAGTGGGCCTCACTTAAACATTCCACTTCCTTATGAACTCAGTGATAACTGTGCTAGTCCCTAACTACAAAGAGGATTATATATGGGAAATGGTATTAAGTCCAGTGTCATCCAACTTAATTGAAAAATATGAAACAAAATATAGCTGTAATATATGAATAAAATAAAATTAAATTACAATAACTTCCACTTCAGTGGTGTGACTACAATTCTGTATTTCATCTTGACAGTACCCTTCAAGTATTTAAGATGGTAAACATAAACCTAATCATGTCTGTGGTACATTGACTCATGATATGTGAATAGAAAGTAAGTGGGAATGAGGAAAAAGCAAATGCTTTTTGAACTCCCAGTTGTTCGCTTCAGTATGTTTTTCTCCTAATTCAACAACTTTTGTTCTATTACAGATTGATAAATAACTGACATATTAATCTTAGTCGATGCTAAAGGCATGTGCTTTACAGTCATACATGCTCCCCTTGATTTCAATGACAGCTCATGATCATAATGTGAAGTATTCACAGATACATGTCATTTGTTGGCAGAATGTTTTAGAGCTCTAGGAAGAGGAGGTCTGGTTTTACTATGGTTTGGCACCTCCCACAACACCCTCCAGTTGGTGAAAACCCCGCAGTTCCATCTAAGTGTCATCCTTAATGTGAAAAAGATATTTGAGTCAGTGCAAAATAAAACAAACAGCTTTTACCAAAATGTCAGTGTTGGTAACAATTCATCTGCCAGAAGCTTGTTACTTAAACCTATGCCATGCATATCAAACAGACAGAGGCATGACTAGGATAAACGACTGGACCAGAAAACCTTTCACAGGAAACCAAAGAATACTCAGGCTGCAATCCGGAGTCATAAAAAAAGGTCACAACTGGACTTCACAAGATACACTGATTAAGAGTTCTGCAACGTCTCTTTCCTTCGTTACCACGCATTAGTCAAGCCCCACCTGCCTGACCTCAGTTCTCTGCATTAGCCTTTGGTCATACGAACACAAGAGAAACCGCAGGGCTATTTCATAGCTGAATTCACACAGGAATTCTTATAAGTACAGTATCTCAATTTAAAGATAATATTACTGAAGAACCCAGAACACCATGAAAAATGCATATTGGAAAAATCAGGGCATGACTCTTCAGAAATGAAGCCAATGGCTTGATAAAAATAAAACCTCACTGGTGTGTTCCAGTCACTTGGTTGATTTTTCTGATCTACAGACTGGACTATCTTTTTAAATCAATGACTGAATTTTACGTTGAGCACTGGATAAAGAGGCTCGTGCCGAAAAGCCACAGTCCATGCATGATCACGACAAACACAGGCAGGCACAAAAGACAGAGAGAGATCTGATGAGTAACTGGCGTTTGCTTAGTCAGAACCTGAAGGATCTTCATCAAGAACTTTCAAAACAGCTAACAGATAGCTTGACTTTGAGTGAAACACAACCAAGAATTATTGTCATTATGTACACCCACAAAAAAAGAGAGATTTCACAACATCTTCTCAGATGAATGCACACACAGAGAAAAGGCTTTACCAACATTTGCTTCAGGTGGGCAATCATCCGGCTTTATAAAAAAATAGCTCCCGATTTGCCTTCCACTTTCCTAAGTCATATTTTGAGCCCATTCTAACGTGTTAAAACAATTAAACAAACTACAACATGAACCAGTATACATAAAGACAGCTGCTTCCTTTCTCAAAAGCTGTGAAATGCTAAATAACCTATGACTCCTGCCCACGTATGTGCCTTGCCAAGCCAGAGGATCACACAAGGGTGTGCACTATTTTGAAAGCTGGGTGTAAGATTTGTCATGTCAGATTTGTATTCACATGTTACAATGGAATCCATGACTTTCATTTCAACAGCAGCTGGAGCAGTGGGCACAGAAGGAACATGCAGCTCAACCTGGGAAATGAGGATGAATTTGGTTTAAAAAAAAATCCTTCTTCCTAAGAGCTGATAGTGGCTGATGCAGATACTTGTTTTGGGGTCACACCATGTCAGCATCTTATGGCAGAAAGATTGCATTTCTTCTCCCCCTCCCCTCCAGTGGATACTGCAGCCTCAGAGAATTTTACATATATCCTCAGAGATGCTTATATGTATCAGAAAAGTACAGCTGTAGGGTTTAAAAAAATATTCCACATGCCCTACAAATTCAAACCCTTTTTTATGTAATCTATTTAATCTTCCATTAATGATAATCTCTGCTACCAATGTGCCCAAACAGGGTCAATTTCTGCTGGATTTGCACTTCTTGTATTTCATCCTATAACTGAGCTGTATTTAATGAGGCAAAACACCCTGCTGTAAAACGTATTAGCAGTCTCCCTAAAACAAATAATGGTTACAAGACTCTGCAACTGCCAGGAACATTTCAAGATTCTGGGTTTTCTTCTTCCTTTGTATGTCTTGCATGGAGGAGAGTCCTGCCAGATGAACATTATTTATTAATCAGGATATTCTTGCCTAATGTGCCTTGCAAGGAGACAGCATAGAGGGGTGGAAATTGCTGTGGATTTCTCACACACCCCCAAAAAGACAACCATGACATGGGGAGAAAAGGATAGATTGGAAGAGAGCATTTATACCCCAAGAGATCCTACCTGACAAGGCCAGGCAGCATTTCAAACTCACACAGGTCACAGCAGTCTGAAACACCACATAACATGTCTGGTTCACACAAGACTTGAAAACAGAGACACTGGTTGAGAATCAGGCTCCCTTTGCCTGTTTGTTTTTAAGTGCCCTACACAGCTCCCTACACCCAAGTGAAATGGGTAGGGTCCAACTCCACGTAAGTTTCCTTCTGGTAACTATTTGATTTCCTTGGGTTGTACCCACAGAGCAAACAGGCTCAGACACACCTGTAAAGGAAGGTTCTCTCTCAATTACTGTAGCAGACACTGGGGAAATGAGTTACTGCTTTGTTTGCTCTTCTGATTTAGTGATAGTTTTATTCGTAATCATTCCCAGCCATCCACCACCTGCACATCCACCCACACGTCCAATTTGCTGTTCTCCCGATTTTGTCAATTCACAAGATCAGCTCGCCCTGCATGTATTTCTAGCCTCAGGGCTCATCAGAAAATAGATTTAATGGACAAAATAAAGTTCAAATAACGCGCTAACAAAATCCTTGAGCTGAACAGCCATACATTAGCATGCAAAAGGGGAGCCATGGGCTGTAAAAGCAATTCAGGTGGTAGCATTCAATTGAATTGACGTTTGTACCAGAAGCAACCAAGAGTTAATGGAGGACACATGGCTCCTCGTTTCCTCTACCGCATCCAAGAAAACGCAGAAGATGAGTATAATAACGGTATAATTGAGCATTTCACTAAACAGCATCACACATAAGCTCTTTTGGCACGGATTGCGTTTGTCCTAGATAACCTTTACGAGATGCTGAAAGTTGATGCACCCAAACCAAATGCATTTCAGATTCAGCCCGAATTCTTAGGTTTGTGCCTCGGAGGGTGGGAAGAGCCAGACACCGAGCATCAATCGACGAACTAGCCCCATCCCGTGCTTAAAAAACAAACAAAAAAAAAAAAAACCAAGAACAAAGAAAAAAAAACCACAAAAAAAAAAATATCAGTCAATTACAGCAAGACAGTGCGGTGTCTACACACAGGAGCCGCAAGACCGTTTGACGGCGTCTGCATATTCGTGGTGAGCCCTGGGCTCCTTCCCCGTAGACCTGGCAGAGGCTCTTTCAGGAGCCTAGTGCTGGGACGGAGGGCGCATCCTTCTAGAGCCCTCTCTCAAATCTCTTTCGAGGGAGACGACTGTGTGGAAAGTCAAACTCCCTCACGGACACAGAGGCACCGGCACAGCACCTCCCTTGGACTGCTCTCCCCCACCGCCCCTTCCGGAGCCGCCGGTGCCCGGGAGGTCGTCAACTGTCCCTCTCGCCGAGACAGCTACCAACGTATCTCAGATACCCTCAGCAGACCAGCCTTTAAGAAGAGAGTGGGGTCTGCACCTTGCCTAAAAAACACAGTGAAATCTAGTCCCCGCTCAAATGGCTGCTCCTGCCTCACCATCCATCACATCACAACGGCGAGGAACTTGCCGGTGGAGAAGGGGGCGCAAGCGGGGAAAGGGGCGCAAGCGGGGTAGGGAGAAAAGAACCGCCAACTTCGGAGCAATTCGGCCTCCCGCAGGGCGGGAGCCGCACGTCTCGCGGAGACGCGCTGGCAGCAACCTCCGCCCGAGGCATCGCCCTAACCCCGCCGACACTGAGCAAACACCGGGTTTTGACGGGGACTCGCAAACGGGTGGGGCGGGCGCCCCGAGGGCGCGGGGCGGCGGACTGTACTTACGGATTTTTGGGGTCGTGCTGGCCTCCGGTGTGGTGGTGGTTGACTCCTGAAAGGGAGACAAGGTCCAGGACGGCGCCGAGTCGTGGACATAGATCTTGTAGGAGGAGGTAGCGTGTGCCGCAGTGGGCCATGCGGGCAGCGGCGGGGTGCTGGGGGCGGCGGGCGGCGGCCGAGCGCCGCGGCCGACTGTGCCGGGGGAACCGCTGGCGGGCGGCGCCGTGTGGGGCGCGGCGGGGTGCCGAGCTGCGGTGGGCCGCGGGCCGCCCCGCGCTGGTCCGCGGGTGCCGGGAGGTCGCGGGGGGGCCCGGCTCATCGTGGTGAGGCGGGGGCTGACGCGGCTAGGTGGCCGCGGCGTGGCGGCGGCGGTAGTCTCCGCGCCGCGGGGCGGGGTGGTGGGCTTGGAGAGGAAGAAGGGGTCCTGCCCCACGCCCTTGGCGTCCATCAGCTCGGTGGGGACGTACTCCTTGACGGAGCCCACCACGATCCACTTGAGCAGCATGAGGCTGAGCCCCAGGCCGATGAAGCCGATGAAGAGAGGCACCACGCACAGCCACGTCTGCTGCCGGTTCCAGACGATGCAGTCGCTGCAGCGCAGCTCCCGCGGCGGACCCCCGGCCCCATCCCCGCCCGGGCCCCCCGCCGCCGCCGCCTCTGCCGCTCCGGGCGCCGCGGCGCCGGCAGCCCCCTCGCTCATTCTAGGGGCCGTCCGCAGCGCCGCCGCGGCCCCGGGGCATCAGCGCGCCGCGGCTGCCGGCGGCATGCGGCGGAGGGGGGCGGAGGGGAGGGCGGCGCGGGCGGCGGGAGCGCCCCGCTCAGTCACGCCGCCAGCACGGCATGCTCCGCGCAGCCTCCCGCGGCCGCGGAGTCACCGGTACGGCCGCGCCATCCGCCGAGTGCCCTCCTCTTGCGCTGCTCGCTTCAGCCTCTTCGGTCGCAGAGGCTTTCTTTCCTCTCTTTGCTTTTTTTTTTTTTGTTGTTTGGTTGTTGGTGGTTTTTTTTTTTCCAGGTGATAAGTCGCAAGAATCAGCCTCCTGGGTTTTTATTTTTTTTTTATCCCAACCGTGCGGCTCCGGCAGCGGGCAGGCACATTCCTTCACATTCACGCTCCTTCTCGTCTCTCTTCTTTTTTCTCTCCCCTTGGGGCTGGGGGATCTTTTCTTTCCGTCTTTCCTTGCTTCCCTCCGCTCCCTCCCCCGCCCGCTCGGCTCCTACCTATGCCCGGCCGCGGCGCAGCAGCATCCCTCGGCTGCTCCGCGGGGAGGCGGCGGCGCGGCGTGGCGTAGCGCACTCGCTACTCCGCGGCCGGCGCCGGGCCAGGGAGGCCGATCCGCGGGCGGGGCCCGGGGCAGGAGGTACGGCTCCGCGCAGCTCCTCCGCGCCAGCACTAAGTCCGGCCCGGCGTCGAAACTCCGGCGAGGGTTCCCGGAAAAAAAAAAATTATAGAAAAAGATAATAAAAATCCACACACACGATAATGATAATAATAACAATAATAAGCATAAAAAAAAGAAGATGAAACCCTAGAGACGGGGCGACAGTGACCCAGTCGGCAAAAAATACGGATCCGGCAAATAAATAGACACGCAGAAGGCAGCTCCTGCCAAGCTTGCAGCTTCTGTTCAATTGTGTATTCCTATCGCAGCGCAAGGGAGGCAGGCTAGCGCGCAGAAAGTAAGGCACCTCCCACCAAAGCCTAATGGTGGTTTCTTAATGCGCACAAGATAAATAAATGATCCAGTCAAACCCCACGGGAGGATGTATGCTACGGCAAGTGGAGCCTAGGAAAGGAGGGAAGAGAAAAAAAGAAAGGGCGGGCGACGCCTGACCCCATCCTGTGGCCGCAGTGCCATGGGCTGCTGCTCAGTGCCAGACACACGGGGGGAGGGGCGGCGAGGGGTGTGCAGGTGCGTGCGGGAGGTGGAGAGCCCTTCCGAGAGGATTCCCTTCCAAAGACGAGGGCTCAGGATGAGAAGAGATTCTCCGGCTCTGGCGTTATCCGATAACTAAGCAGCATTTTGTTCTTGTTTTTGAAGGGGATTCCCTAACGGAAAAACAAAAACCAGCAGACACCTGCGACAAAAGGATGGGCCTTTTTAGCAGCCGGGGGGGGCGCAACTGATGGCACAGGCACGTGTTGAGATTCAGGTTTCAGGACGTTGAAACTACTCCAGCTTTTTTATCTACTCCAGAGTTGAACTCCAAGTTCAGCGTGGTCAACCACTGTCCATCTACTTACTGGATAAACATCTCAACAGCTAGATTGGTCACTGAAGGATTAACAGCAGTCTACCACAGGGTGGTCTTATCATCAGTTTCAAAATTTTAGAAAATTATCTATAAACTTATGTATGTACAGATGGTTTTAACCCATTTTTTTCTGAACTGTTTTCTCGGTGTAATTTCTTGCTACTGACACATTATTTCCTTTGCAATGTATTTAAAAGTATATTAATATTTATAAAGAGTAATTGAGCAGAAAAGTCAGAAACAAACTAGGAAATACATTTGTTCTGTATATACACAGGCAAATATAGAAAATTATTGCAGCTGAAACATATCTGCTTGATTTTTTCTTCAGAATGAATAATAATAGCATTTATAACATCAGGGTTACATTAAACAGACATCTAGATTATTGTCATTTCAAGCAATCCAACTGGAGTGTGGCACCTTCCCTAAGATAGGTCAATGCTAACAGCCATCTGGAAAATCTGTAGAAGTGTCTTATCAGGTCAGTGTACTATTCAAACACTTTGTCATAAAGAAAAGCACTTTAGCATTGGAAAACACAAATATCTGGGCTTCTACTCCTTTGACGAACAGGCAGAAAGATTAGGAGAGAGCATTTAGAAACAGTCGTATGAGTATTACCCAGTAAAGCAAACAAATGAACAAGACAAAGTCGTGAGAATCCAGGGAGACTTTGTTGCTAATTTTATGAAATCCAGGATTTCTTATGGAAATCTAGACTCACGTTCATTCAGTTGTGGGTGCCTGTTCTGCACTGTCATCGCCTTCGTTGCAAACTGTGACTACCTTTGTCCTGCCCTGGGCTATGTGTTGCACAAAGGTCCTTTAGCTCTTGCCTCTTCCACAACCATATTGTTGTTCACTAAGCTCAATATGAATCATGCTTTGTATTCATTCTCAAATAATTTGTACTTGCTTCCTGGAAAACACAACAAAAATGTTTTACAGCCCTCACAAAATAGCTTTTATTTTCCTCATGACTGTGTCCTAAAGTCTTTCAGTGTTTCATCTGTCTTCACCGTACTTCTTCTCCCGGTGAGATTTTCAAGCTGTCATCTCCTAAATTTTGTAATGGTTCTAATGGAAGACATCAGGATGTGATACCATTAAGATGCCTGAAGTATAGCCATTTCATTGTTTAATATTGAAAGACTTCCTGTATTATGAGTAAAGACTTTCAGGCTTCTTTTCTTACAATTTCCCATCCTTTCATTGAGGTTTGACAGACTGTTCTTGAAATTGATTGTGGGATGCTTTCAGTATGCCTTACTTAAGTGAATCACTTAAAAACAGGTATTATCCTGATAAGTTAATGAAGATCTTACTGTTGACTATTAGCCTCTTTGAAGAAAGTTCTTTGGTCTAAAAATTTGAAATGGCATAGAACTTGATACAGGAAGCTCAAAGCAGCTTTTCCTTAACCCCACAGTAAATGCAAATGTGTTTTAAATAGCTTATCCTTCAGTTAAAAATAAATAGATAAATAAATAAATAATAATGCCATGCACCTAGACACATAAGTGCAGGCAATGTATGGAAACCCCTTCCTGCAATAATTTACTCATGAGTTAAAATTCTATGATGTGTGAAAAACTCATTCTCTGAAAACTTCCAGATTATTTCTCTGTCCTCAAAAATTAATATTCAAATCATAATCAGTTTCTCAAATCAGCCCACTCTTGTTAAACTGAATCTGTTCAGTGCATTAATTCTAATTTACGTAGGTATTTGGTAAATTTCACTTGCATTTCTTCCTACTCATTCTGTATCATAGCCTAATTCTTTTATTTTTTCTGGAAATATGTTTATTGTGATCAGAAAGCATGTAGTTTATTTTTCTTGACTTTCCTTAATAATAATCAAAGAAATTTTTAGTATCTCCTTCAGGACATCTGTGACTAGGATGGAATAAATTTGTTTATCTACAGTGGAGTCTGTCGTGTTTTCTGAAGGACTGGTGATGCACACATACTGGATACGCTATAATTACATTACTGTGTAACAGTGGGGTTACATTTTGGCTGTGCAGTAGGTAATGTTTTTGTTACGAGGCTGCTGTTCCTGACCAGCTTCACACATGCCTCCATACAGCAGAACCATGTACACCAACATGGTCATCAAATAGTGAAACCTAATAAATCAGTTAAAGGAGTTAGATTTGTTTTAACTGTTATCATGGAATCAGTTCAATAACTATTCTCAAAATAGCCAAGAAAACAAATCTGAAATTGGGAAATAAGGTACTTTTGGAACCATGTCCATTTCAGGAACAAAACAATACGCCAGTGAGGTATTTATGTTCCAGTTCCATATACACACACAGTTAGAAGCCTTTCTTTCCTCCAAACTTTACAAAATTCCTGAAGACATTCGTTGTTAATTCATGTAAATATTGTCTGAACAACAAACCCTCTGCGGACACTTACTTTATGGTGCTATCAGCCACTGACAGTATAAACAGTCTCTCAAAACTGTGAGTTCCGCCAGCATTCACCTCATTTTTTAGGCAGTTGGATGTGGCAAACAAAACAGAAGTTCACAAACAAAGGATGCTGGAATTGGGGCTGGTTATATCAATTGGTGTTACAGTACTGGGGTATTTTCCCAAACTAGGGCACCTGAATATTCTTTACTTCATTCTTCGTCTTAGCTTTCATCTGCAGCTCAGCTACGACATACATGTCCCTTACGGTTGCTTCACAGTCAGGGAAAACCTTGCTCTTTGTCTGAGGACTGCATGTAACTATGTAACTCTATTCCTACTTCCATGTGAAACATAGCGTTCCACTCATCCCACTAACCAGTGCTCAGAACCAAAGTAGTCTTTCCCATTCCGATTGCTAAAATAGTAATTAGGCAAGACAAACAGACTCAGCTTTATTCAGCTGATGTTGTCAAGAGACTTGGGCTATGAATCTGTGAGTAATCTGTAGAGCCCGAAGTATTCCTCCTTTGATTTTTACACAATATCTGATGAATATTCCTGGTATGAAGAAGGAATAGTGCAAGTCACAAAAAGGGAGAAATCCACCACAAACACGTAGCAGCCATTTGAGGCATTGGCAAGCTACCAGTTAGCATTATGTCGGTCTTGGACAGGTGTGAGATGAATGACAATTAATTTCAGGATAAGGAGAAGAATCTTCTCTCTCTCACTGCAATATAAACTCTGTAACAATCACATGACTAAATTAATTGGATAAAATACACCTATTATTGCAAACAGTGAAGTATGCTGATTCCTCCTTAACAGTCAGCATGTCCTCAGTTTTTCCAGTCATGTGTAACCTATTTGCAAATTCCAGGGCTGCCACTAAATATTTAGAATTACACTTGAATGTATGGCAATGAATATATACAATTCAAATATTTATCTTTGCATGGTTTGCAATGATTAATTGAAATATGTCATCACATTAGCAAAAACTCCCACACCCCAAATCCTACAAAACATGTTTAAATCAGGAAATATCAGCAAACTGAAAACTTTTCTTAGTGGAAGTTTTATTAATAAGTAACTGAAATCCTAAAGGCCTGACTCACCTTTTATCAAGCCAAATTCTCAGTATTCTCCTCTTTTAGCTGACCATAAATTCTAAGGATTTCATTAGGAGAAATTCTGTTTGGCAAGAGTAAAATCAAAGTAATTTGTTAATTCTGATTTTAGTGGTATTGTATCAGTCCCTTAAGAACACAATAATGATTTCAGACTGGGAAATATAATGGCTAGTCTTAATAGTGCCCTTGCGACACACTGAAGTCACTGCAACATAACAGAAATGCATGTATTACTCTTCGAGCCCTCGTAACCCTCTTGAGATTTTTATCAGGAATTTAAATTTAGGATGCCAGAGGAAGAAATATTTGAAAGCAAATATGAAAAATGCCATCAAAAGAGCTTGCTCTGAAGCACCGTGGAGTCAGCAGAAATCTTTTGGTATGTTGCTCTCTATCTTGCACTAAGACCTAAATCAAAATTCAGATCTTTCCAAGATTTAGGACAAAATTATTACAAGAGCAAGTGAGAAAGTCTGTGAAGAAATCAGTCATCAGCAGACAAGGAAGTTAAAATTATTTACTATTATAACTCCCTTCCTTTTTATTTTTTTTCCTGAAAATCTACATTTTCAATCCCGATTTGTACACTTGATCCCAATTAATCAGGCAGAAGGGGAATATATGCTATATTTCAGAGTTTGGCAGCTTTTGTTTTTCTGTTCAAAATTGTTTACTGTCCCGTATAACTTCTGCCCAGTGCAGAGAACACAGCTGGTAGGTGTTGCTTGGTGCATTATGTGCCTGTGGATATTGTCACATGACATAAGGTTAGAGACAATGTGGAAATGCTTGCATTTTTAGCAGTCTGTCACACGGAGTAATGGACAAAGATCTAGATACCTTTAGTTCCGTTGTCCAGTGCAGAAGCTTTAGTCTTTGCAGAGAGGTGACAA